TTCTCAGTGGTGGCAGATGACAGAACAAGGAGCAATGGTCTCAAGTTGCAGTGGGGGAGGTCTAGGTTGGATATTAGGAAACACTATTTCACTAGGAGGGTGGTGAAGCACTGGAATGGGTTACTTAGGAAGGCGGTGGAATCTCCTTCCTTAGAGGTTTTTAAGGCCCAGCTTGACAAATCCTTGGCTGGGATGATTTAGTTGGTGTTGGTCGTGCTTTGAGCAGAGGGTTGGACTAAATGTCCTCCTGAGGTCTCTTCCAACCCTAATCTTCTATGATTGTATGATGGCAACAAGACAACAGTGGAAATTGCTCAGGGTTAGCCAGGTTTTATATTATATTAAAGTCTTTGTACGGATCTGTGTTTCTCAGCCTCTTCACATGGGTGAGCCCTTATTCACATTAAAAAAATTGCACAACCTCCCCACTAACAATAAAAAAGTCTCATTTCTGACCATGCTTAGGGCTGCTCTGTATGCAGAACTTGCTTCAGCAAAACTAGGTCTCTTGGGGGGGAGGTGTGGGGTGTGTGAAATTCCCCCCCCCCCCCAACCTCCCGAGACGTAGCTATGCCAAGCTAACCCCCAGTGCAGACAGAGCTGGACGGATGGAAGAATTCTTCTGTTGACCGAGCTCCTGCCTCTCGGGGAGGTGGATTATCTCCAGTGTTGAAAGAACCCCTCCCAGCGCTATAGTGAGTATTTACATTGAAGTGCTGCCGCAGGGTTTTAAGCACAGACCTACCCTTAGCATATAGAATTGATGTGTGGGAGGGTGGAGAATACCTGATCTTGAAGGGTCAGGGGCTGTGGGGATGGGGGGAGCGAGACTTTTCTTTGGTTTAGACTGTAATATTTTCAACGCCTCATGACCCCACTGCTGGCCTTTCCTGATCTTCTGGGACAGTTGTGATCCACCCATTGAAAATCCCTCGTCTAGAGCAGGGGTCTCAAACTCAAATAACCATGAGAGCCACATGAGGACTAGTACATTGGCCGAGGGCTGCATTACTGACACCTTTCCCCCCTGCCGCCCTCAGCCCTGCCCCCACTCCACCCCTTCCATGAGGCCCACCCCTTCCCTGCCCCCATTCCAACCCCTTCCCCAAAATCCCCACCCCAACTCTGCCCCCAGGGGGTGCAGGAGGGCGGTTGGGGGGGCTCAGGGCAGGGAGTTGGGGTGTGGGGTGCAGGAGGGATGAGGGGTACAGCAGGGGGGCAGAGTGCAGCGGGGGCTCAGGGCAGTGGGTTGGGATGCAGGAGGGGTGTGGGATGAGGCAGGGGGCTCAGGGCAGGGAGTTCGGGGGGCAGGATCTGGCCCAGCGTGTACCGGGGGCAGGGCATGCTCCCTGCCTTGCCCTGCCCCCACGCTGCTCCGGGAAGAGGCTGGATTGTGGGGAAGGGGGGGCGGAGGGGCTGTTTCTGTTGCACAGTAAAGTTATAGGGGCAGGGTGTGACGCCTCCTCCCCCAGCAACATAGTGATGTTGACAAAAACCCTGGTGTAAATGCAGCTACATCCTGCAGGGAGGTGGCCTTTCTACACTAGAAAGTGAGGTTGATGTAAGCCACTGTGCACCAACTTAGCTGTGTGTGTCTAGGCTCAAACTGTCTCCTGCTTCCATGAAGTGCCCCATTAAGGCAATACTGGAAAACCACCTTCCCTACTGGCATTGCACTGTGGTCGACCTATAGCAGTCAACGCAATAGGAGAGCTGACCCTTACAGTCCTCCAGCAGCTGTCCCACAATACCAAACAGTGGCTGCTCTGGTCACAATTGTAAACTCCGTGACCCAGCCTACAGAGACTGGAAACAACTTCCTGTCCCTTTAAAACCCCCCACATATTTTTGAAATGCTTTTTCCTGCTTGCGCAGCTGGGCGAGCACACCTAGCAGCTTGCCTTTGTTGCGTGCAATTGCCCAATCGAGTATGCTGGCTACATGCTCCAAACACTCTGATCTAGAGCAGACTGGAGCTATTGGAGCTCCTGGGCCTGGGGGGAGAAGAGGCGGTGGATCTCTATGAAGATTGCCTGGGGGCTGCAGCCAGAGGGGTACAACGGGGATCAGTAGAGGTGCCGGATGGAAGCGAAGGAACTGCAGGGGGCAGACCCCGTGGCCAGGGAGGCCAACAATCGACCTGGTGCGGAGCTGAGGACCTGCAGTTCTTACAGTGACTATATGCAACCACCGTAAATACCTCAGAGGAGCCTGAGCCAGACCCCCGCTGTGGGAAGAAGAGGGGTAGATCTAGTGGCAGGGCAGCTTTGCTGTGAACCAGCACCTGTTTGAGACGCTGCCACAGTCTAGCCCAGGGGTTCTCAAACTGGGGGGACCTTTCTGGTGGTCGCGAGGTTATTACATGGGGGGTTGCGAGCTGTCAGCCTCCAGCCCAAACCCCACTTTGCCTCCAGCATTTATAATGGTGTTAAATATATTTAAAAGTGTTTTTAATGTATAAGGGGGGTCGCACTCAGAGGCTTGCTGTGTGAAAGGGGTCAGCAGTACAAAGGTTTGAGAACCACTGGTATTGCCAGTCCCACCTGGCAAGCATGGACGAGCCTGCTGAAGGGGAAGAACCTTGCGTAAGTGCGTGCATGCATTTTTCCTGGCAATGTTTCGAGACACAGGTATCAACTTTTCATCATTTTACTTGTATGAGAAGAGGAAGAGGTACACCACACAGAGAGAGTTGGCATCAGCTTTTCCTTCTGCTGGGTTAGGGGAGGGGTTGTTTCTGTACACAGGGATGTCCTATGTAGCCTCTTGAGAGATCTCAATGAAACTTTCCCGGAGGTACTCTGTGATCCTCTCCCACAGGTTTCTAGGGTAGCAGCCTTATTTCTTCCTCTGCAGTAGAACGCTTTCCCATGCCACTTGGCCATGAATTCAGCTGGCACCATTGCACCAAACAGGCTAGTGACACACAAACCCCGGCAGTTTTGGGACACCAGCAGCAGCTGTGCTCTGCGCCTTTGTTACCCGCGTGAGCGAGCTAGCAGCTAAAATCACGACTGCCTGTGGAAAACCATGCCAAGTTTCAGTGCAGAAATAGGGACCAAAATGTTATTGTTTCATACAGCCAAAAATCGTACTGGCCTCTTTTTTCCCTGCAGCCCGGCCCCTGGCAGGCTGTACTGGCCATGGCAGGGACTGGAGCGAGGCACTCCGAAGCTAATCATCACAATCAGTGTCATATCTTAGTACAACATTTTATGGGAATAAGGGAGAGGAGTTTTGAAACTTACACTTTCTGCTGTGATTGTAACTACCGTAGTAGAAAGAGAGCCTGAAGCACGGGCCTAGTGCAAGACCTGAGGCCTGAACCAAAATCAGCAAAAGTTACGCTATGAGCAAAAGTCAGGCCCCGTCAAAAGCAGGCGCTTGCCTGCAAATCAGAGTCTGACAGCACAGAGAGAGGGCAGTGGTTCTCAAACTGGGGGTTGGGACCTGTCAGGGGGTCACAAGGTTATTACATGGGGAGTCGCGAGCTGTCAGCCTCCACCCCAAACCCCACTTTGCCGCCAGCATTTATAATGGTGTTAATTATATAATTTATATGGGGGGTCGCTCTCAGAGGCTTGCTATGTGAAAGGTATCACCAGTACAAAAATTTGAGAACCACTCGTCTAGAAGATACACACAATAAACAAACAGGCACGCAAGCAAACTCTGAAGTGTGTGCGCATCTGAACATACTGATGAATCTCATGTCCACCACGTACACATTTCAAGCTGTTAGCAGATAATGGTTTAAAGATTTGACACACTAAAATGGGAAGAAAATGAAAATCTGTATGAGAATACATTTCAGAACACAAGGAAGTATTTGAAAGTTTAAAAAAACAAAAACAGGAGAAAAGGATGAATTTGAGTGTATGTGCTGCAAATTGTGGCCCAATTA